GTGGGAGACCGGTGCTTCCTTTATGATGGCCAGACTCGCGGCTTCGGTAACTCTGTGAAATTTTGCGAAGGGCTTTATTCCAGGATCGCAAGCTTGCACAGCGAAGAAGAGAACAGGATAGCGACGGCTCTGATTCCCGGCCGTTGGGCCGCGTGGATCGGCGCCCGGGGCGATGGTCATGGCGTGTGGAGCTGGCGCGATGGGACTCCCTGGTGGCAGCCAGCAGTAACTGCAGACATTGACGGACTGATGGATGAAACATATATTGTGATCAACTCAGATAAGCTCTGGCACGACTGGAGTTTAGGCGGTCTAAAGGGCGTCCTTTGTGCCTCACCTGTTCACAGCGAGGTTGGCCGAAATACCACAAATCAGTGCGGAGATCCGAGCGATGACACAGCCTCTGCTGTTTCGCATGCGCTGCTCATGTCCGTGACGCAAGCGGTTTTGGTGTCCATCACCTGTCTGCTGTTTTAGCGTTTGTCGTTCTCCGGAAGACGAGCAGATATCCATGGCCTCAGGCGAGTCACGTAGCATCTACCTAAACCCCTTTCTGCGCTGCCAGGGTCTGCATGAAAAGCAGGTCATCCGGGGCGGTCTGGTTAACCAGGGGCTGCCATGTACAGAGTGATGACCTGCTGGGAACGACTAGTACTACCAGTCGTAAGTGTTCCTAATTATGAAGTATCTTCCAAACCCCATTCGAATTATTTAAGGCCCTGTGCCCATAGTATGCTAGTCCTATCCCTTCTGTGACTGTCAGTGTTACCTTGCATATTGAGTGGTGGCGCTGGGGCCTGAAGCGATCCTTAATGACTTGGTTAGGTAGTAAGAGTGAAAATACTTCCTGAAGTATTGCCAGTAGTACTGTTCCAAAGCGTCCCTTGATATAACTAAAAATCTAATATACCCAAAAACTTATTCTCATTATCACGACTCCTTATTACGGACAGATCTTGGAAGCCATGGCTGGCCCCCTGTGTACAGATGCCCGAGGCGTAGCAGGCTAAGCCTGCAAAAAGCCTGCAAATAACTTTAGGGTTCAGGATTTCGGGTACCCTCAACCCCTTTTGCCTGGAGCTAAGACAACTCCGGGTTCTGGGGTTCAGGATTTTCCCGGCTGGCAGAGGCATTGGGAGATTTCGGTGTCCGGAGGCCACAACGACGAAGGTGTGCAGGTTTTAGGGGCCTTGGGATTCGGTCAAGTGGCTTAGAGGTTTAGGGCTTTGCAGCTTGAGGATTTAGGGCTCAAGGACTTCAGGGTTTGAGCTTGAGGCCTTCAGGCTTTCGTCAGAAGAATACGCGAGATTCAGACAGTTGGGGGCTCTAAGGTAGACCCCAAATTCAAGTAGGATCCTCTCACTATGGCAGGTCCGAAGACCCTGTAGCCCAGTAGGCCTTGTGACACCCTCTTCTCAACACAGAAAAAGCTCGGAACAAAAGCAGCCTATGGGCGGCTCAAACTGCCCACCCCATATCTTTGGCCCGAGATTGCCCAGCCTGATGCATGTTGCAGGTTACGTCAGGGCACACCGACGCAAGGAGGCTATGCAGGAGGGCCGCACGTAATCTTGTGCCGGTTCAAGCAGTTGTCTAAGCGCAGATGGCTTTGGTCAGGCATCGTATTCGTCATCAACACGGCTTCACAATCCACTAGAGGGAAACCCTGGGGATCCGTGATTTTTTCTGAACATCTTCAACCGACGAAGGTCCCTGGATCCTACTGTAGTCTTTGTTGACATACACAGCTTCAGTTCGGATCGGTGGACAAGCGCAGGAGATGCAGAGCGCGAGCCCCATCAAGCCCTATCCGCCGATGAAGACGTGGCGAGGACAGCTTCAGATGTGACGGAGGAACCACTGTTTGCCCCAAGAAAATCGAAAAAATGCCCGAAAACGAAGCTCTGGCAGAAGTTGTTATTGCGCGAGGAGCCTCGAGGGTTATCGCCGCGAGGAGGGCTCCGGACAGCTGAGAGTCAAAGGTCAAGGTTTAGGTTTTTTGGGCTTATACTGAGGATATAGCCCCGAGGCTGGCACGTGTGTGGGGATCTGCACTGAGGACGGTTGGAAGTTGCATCTCTAGGACAAGCCTTGAATCCGGACTTCCAAGCTTTGATCCCAAGGCGGTAGCCTTTGCAGAAGCCTTTGCTCTGAATGCAAGAATGGCTGACAGGTGGCCTTCCTACAGCAAACTCTGGCCGAGAGAAGAGAGACGGAGGCTGGGATGTGGTCAGCCCCCCAATCCCTGCTGCTTCTGCAGTGCCCTTTGTTCGATACCATACACCGTACACCCCAAAGGGATGGCGGTTTCAGTATGCTTCGAGGTTAAGGCTTGAAGGCGAAACTTCGGGCTTCGTCGAGGTTCGCGGCCATCCCAGCCTCCCAGCGTGCAGACACTGCAGCTTTCTATTCGCAGACAGTGCAGTGTTGTTTGCTTGCGGGGAGGAAGAGCTTCGATCCGAGCTGCGCCGGCAAAAGATCGAGGCAGGCCCACGTCGCTACTCCCAGCACCCGAAGCGTCTTCATCCTCGTGATGACGATCGTCATCCTCGGCATCAGCATCACCATCTTCTTCTTTATCGACGTTCATCAACGAAGCCTGATTACTATCATCATCTGCCTCGTTACAGTGCGTCCACCCCCAAACGCAGTGGTTTTCTGCGCCCTGTACCTCGATAGCTGAATCCAAGAGTCGACTCCTGTACATGATGACCATCCAGCGGAGATGTGTCTGTTTTGGCGTCCTCCTTGGTAAATTATGACTATCGCCAGCGTTAGTCTTTTGCCTTTGCATGGCCAGAAACTCATCTGAAGTCAGGGCCTGAATGCGTTGACCGGGAAGGCCGATGATCAGCGCCGAGACTTGCAAAGCAACTCACACGCAAGAAGTGCCCTTGGAGCAGCGGTGCGTAGAACTGGGTCGTTACTGTATGATAGTCGTAATCGGCCAACCTGACAGAGTGGTTTAGCCTCTCGTCTGTTCAGGGTTCGCGATTGGTCTGCTTGCAAACCGTGTGCGGTTTTATCGAGCCTTGGTTGTGTGAGCATTGGGTCTCGCAGGGTTTAACATGCAGAACTCCAAGATTCAGGAGCCTCTGGAACATGTGGATTCCTGGAAGGGTGTCTACAGGTTCCTCTAGCAGATCCTAGACCTGCTACTTCTAGGCTTGTAACCAGCTGAGGCCCAACTCTTGGACCTGATACGGCACAAGTTTGCTGCTAATCCGCATTCAACGCAGTGTATACATTGAAGACATACAAAGAGCCGCACAGCCTGAACATTCCAAGCCCCAACCCTGGCCCCTACCTGAGACTCCAGCACCCAGAATCCTGAACCCTGAAGCTCAAAGACCCTAGTACCCTAACCCACCCTAACCGAAAACCCTTGGAAGCACTTCAACAACACTGAGACTCAAAAGCCCCCGAAGCCCCAAATGAAACTCTAAAACCCTACAGCCCTGAAACCCTCATAGACAGAGCACGGAGCCCTCATAGACCGGACAATTTGAGCCCCTTGGCCCAGGTCAAGTCGCCAGCCTGCTGCTGGATCTCGGCGAGCAAGGCAGGGGACGTGAGAAGTCTAGAGCCATCGATCCGCGTAGCCTGTAGCCGTACACCTGGTAAAGTGATTTGTACGTGATATATATATATATATGTGTATACGCGTCTACGGCAGTCTTGTGATCTGACTGCCTTGATTTGCGTCCTTGACACTGTTGCATGATGCCAGATGTCCTGCCCCATCCCGTTCCTGACGCGAGTCCTCGGACACTGTATTGGTGGCACATTCCCATGAGATGCAAAGTTGAGTTGTGTTCCTTCCCGTTGCAACATCCTCGACTTGTTGTGAAATCTTCGAACTGTTTGCGGCACATTCCTAATTTCAAGCTGTGGCAGCATAGATGTCGTCATGTCAGTTCTCGGCTTGCACTGCGTTTACTCGTGTCCTGACTTCACGGGCTGATATAGGATTTGCGCATGGAGCTGCCGCTCTTAATATATCCACTCTGGCTCATGTTCAGCCGATGGGCACGAGAGAAGGGACTGCAGTCGAAGGTCTAGGGCTTGTGCTTGCTGGGGGGTTGGTGGTTTTGTGACTGTGAGAGGAGAAGGGTTTTAGACGCGTGGGCTCCATTTCTTGACCCGGCATGCTGTGCAGGACGGAAGTGAGGCACTCGACAAACCGAGCTGGTGGGCCGAGTGCCGGAAAAAGCAGGTATCCACAAAGTTGCCCTGGGTGTGCTAACTTCGTCAAAGCCTGCCCGGCGTTCTGATAACCGGCTGTCCCCAGCTGTTCTGCCTCTATTCTTGGAGCTTCAAGTTCAAGGACCAGCTTGTCAACGTTTGTTGCCCGAATGCCGTGTGGGAAAGGGTGGCTGCTTCGACTGGGGCACCTTACCACAACCTAGAGACGTCCCTTGGGCCCAGCAAAGCTATGACCAAGTTTGTGAACAAGACGTACGAATGATGCTTCTAATGGTCTAGTTAATCGCAATACAGGCAGCCAAACTCCGGATCATGGCGAGGAAATTGCAGTGAGGAACAACTCCTGAACCCCTCAAACAGCGGAGCACGTAGAATAAAACAAAACGAACGCTCGTAACCCAAGCCTAAGGCGCAACTGAGTGATAGGTGCTGAGTTTACAATGCCATAACCTGAAGCCTGAGTTAACCACCCGAAAACGATTCTATTTGCGATTGCAAGGAACACGGGGCTTTAGTAAGATGAGCCCAGTAAAACTGTCGTTTCCTAATTCTTACGTTATTCCAAGGACCTGGAACGGCAGCCTCAAGGCCCTCCCAAGAGCCAACCCAGATACTGAGGCCGAAGGTTCCGCGTCGGCCAGAAGACCCCAAGACTGGTAGACGCCTAACCCTGCCCTGAGCATTCAGAATACATGTTTGACTCTTGAAGACAAGTCGACATGTGCAGGCTCGCAGCTGTTTTGAGCCCTTCTGGCTTTGGGTTTGAGGGCCAAGTGCCAAGGCGACCCCTTCGAATGCCAGTGTTCCCCTTGCTGCTGCTTCTTGGGGCGCTGGCTTGGCTGGTGCTTCGATGGGCGCGACGGATCCGGACCAAAGCGGCCGAAGCTTGCCCCAGGAGCAGGGAGGTGATTCCGGTTCACCCCTTGACTCGGGAGTCCGAGCGCGAGGCTCGCGAGCTTCCCGAGCTCGTGATCCCAGAGGTTCCAGACTGCGTCCCTGCAGAGGCGCCGCGATATGAGCACAAGTTCGGAGCCCCGAGGTCAGAGCTTTACAAGATGGACTACCGCCCCGTCGATGAGGATGTTCCTTCTTTGATCCAGGCCGCCATAAGCGACGAACTACAACGCCCGCATGTGGAGCAAAAGCTTGAGCAGTTGCGATTGCTTTGTGGCGATTTGCCTGCCTCCGGCTGGGTTCAACCTCGTGATCCCCGTGTACTGCTGAGGCCGCTGCCTGCGCAGAAAGGGTAATGCTAACGGGGATTCAGGTCATAATATAGTATAATATATAATATTATATAGTTAGCATAATACAATATAGTCCAATAATATGATAGTAATAATGCTCCGAAGAATAAGTGAGCCAAGCCCTGCTTTACTGGGAGCCGCAGACGCATGTGGATAAGTTGCTGACAATGTGCAGGTTCCTGCTGGCCCGACAATGCAATGTGCATCGAGCCAGAGAGATGCTCCAGGCACAGGGTCCTCAAGCTACACGCGTTCCAGACTTTGGTAGGTGCGAAAGTCTCTCTATAGAGAGCGCATTCAGAGTTCTACAACGTATGCCTTGGATGTTTGAAGCTTCCATCCCTCATCCCGGCCGCTTCCGAACACCTCCCAGTACTGCTCTTTGAGGGACGGCGATTACTCCGGTAGGATCCTCAGCTTCGGAGGGTTGTGGCCAGGACGTTCTATCCTGGCGGCAACAGCACGACGTGGCAGACGCTTTGCCCCACTGGGAGAAGGCACGAAGAAACCAAAGCCGGTTCGAGCATAGCTCTTTTGAGTCGAGAGCAAGGGCCAGGGTTCCTAGGCTGCACTCTTGTAGCATGTCTGTAGCATGTCACCGGGCCAGCGCCTTCATTGTCAGCCAGTGCCGCCAGGTGAAGCACGAGAGGTTCGATTCCTACTGGAAAGCTTCAGGCTGCACAGGAGAAGACTGCCAGGGAGATCTCGTGGTTTTTGAGAGAATTGGCCAGTATGACGTCCGTGGACTTGTGAGATGCAACCAGGCTTTCATCCAGGAGCATTGCATCTACAGCGCAGAGTGCGTGTTCGCTAGCCTTGAACTTGCGCGGAGGCGCCATCTTCAAAGAGGCAGCAATCGTGGATTTCAATTGACCGTGGTCGCAGACATGGCTGGCTTGGACTTCAGCTTCCTGGACCCCAGAGCCTTGCAAATGTGCAAGACAGTGGCCAGGCTGGAAGCTGACCACTACCCAGAAGTCTTGAAGCGCATCATCGTAGTACGTGCACCATGGGTTTTCGCCGCTGTGTGGCAGCTGTGCCGTCCATTTATGGATAAAGGATCGCTCGAGAAGGTGGACATCGTGAAAGACAGTGAGACGACCGAAGCGATATTGAAGCATGTTCCTCCAGAGATTGTGCCCAAGGCGCTCGGAGGGAGCATGCCTTCTGCTGAGGGAGATGAGTACTGCAGCAGTTTGATTGCTCCTGGCGGGAAGATACCTGAAGACATCATTGCCATGACCTTTGCTTCAACGGGAGAGGTATGAGAGCAGCTTCGTTGTTTGCTTTCTCTCCTCGACGCGTGCGTCTGTCTGGCAGCTGGAGCGATCCCGTAAGCTTTGCATCTCAGTTTGCAACCGGGGATTCTTACATCCGGCAAACGTACACTAACGTACAATCCAGGACAGGACCTGGGTACCTCGAAGACGGTGGGTCAGAGTGAACAGTGCCGTTGTGACCCTAGTACGAAGCTGTCGGTCGGCTTCCGGAACTGCGACAGTGTATAGCGCGGCTTCATGCTCGTATTCCTGTACTTGATTGAATCCAAAAGAGGTCGTCTGTGCACCGAGAACATAACCGCCAGGAGCGGAGTCTCAAGTGCGGACGCTATTGCCACCCTTGGCCATGAAAAAGAGGCACACCACATGAGCGTCTCTTCCATTTTACGGTGCATGCCGGGTCAGCCGACAGCACCGCACAGAGGACGGACTGCAGGTGTGATGCCACGGTTCGCCCGGTCTCATGACAGGATTTAAGATTGAAGACCCTGAACCTCTTCGACCGACAGTGTTGGGGCTCGGAACCACGTAGCCTCCTAGAACACTCAGACCTGGGACGTGCGAAGGCCAGGCTTGGGGCGGGCGATTTCCGTCTATTCGAGGACAGGATTCAAGTTCCCGGAGATGCTTTCACGGACCCGAACCTGCGCCTGAGCCCACCTGTGCGCCACAGACTTCTGGGCTACGAACTTTCAGGATCTGAGGCACGCGCACTTTGCGCAAGCTGGGGTCCCATATGGCATGGATAACAGTGCACCTGTTTGACATGAGGCCGCCGGCCTTTTCTCCGGGGATGGGCTGCGGAGGGGCTAAGCCTGCCCAGGTGCCGCCAAGGGTCCAGGAATTCCTCCGGTTTGGGTTCAGCGGGTAGGGTTCGGGAGCTGAAGGCTTAGAGCCTTAGAAGGCCTTAGGTGCTTCTGATTCGGGTTGCCGGAGCTCTTCTCTGCAGATGCAAAGCCGAGGTCCACGGTTTCGTTTGGAAAGAGACACAACAAGAGCTAAAGAGGTGGAGTAGACGGTGCCTACTTGCGGAAACATGGTTTCGAGGTCATAGCATTTCACAGATCCTCTGCCTGACGGGACACTCCTTCAGCCCTCAACCTCAGAAAAAGAAGCGCAAGGTTTAGGGGGCCCGCAACCTGACAAATCAAGCCTCTCTAGATTTTGTTTGACTGGGGGCTCTTAGTCGAGCATCTCCAGGATCTGAAACTGTCCGTCATGCCCTGCAGTGGCGTGGAACTCAACAAAGTGTTCACAAACTCCCAGGGACCCTAGATCTCTAACCATCCGAGTTCTCACTGCAAGGCGGCCGCGAACCCGCAGCAGCCTTCCCCGCAAGCTTCGCCACAGCAGCATTCGCAACAGCAGGGCGCCCAGATGGAGGGTGATGTAGACTGAGATGCCGAAAACCTCTGCACTTCGTCCCAAGTCACAACAGCTTGATAATCTTGATACAGCGAGGAATGCGATGCAAGTGACGCTGTTTTTGCAAGAACTCCTCGTGGCATGAAAGAATCCTTGCGATCAACTGCTGATGGAAAGCTGAGTTATCAGTTCGCACCTGCAAGGATAGAGGCACAGAGCACCCAGAAGTTTACCATTCAGACAGCAAAAGCACCTTGAAAGACCACGGAGTCCCTCTTTGTTCTGCTTGTAGAACGAGCCCTTGTTTTGTTTAGCAGCTTGGGAGGCCCCGGTGTCCATGGACCCATAGGTTGAATTCGGATCTGTATCGACGTCCTCGTGTCCAAACCCCAAAGCCTGAAGCTTTGTTTCCTTGCCTGCACACCTGCGGCCGGAGGCAGTGGGTTCCCGACGCCCGAACACTCCATGATCGAAGACCGAACCCAACCACCTGGAGTCAAGCAAGAAAGAGACAGGCCCGTGATCCCGGCACCGCAAGCATCCGCAGCCACAGTGAGGCACGTGTTCGTCAGGGCATGGTGGTTTCTTGAGTCTTTTCGAAGCATGCACATGCATCCGGCTATCTACTCATCCACCTACTTGTGTCTTATGTATCGCCTTTGTATCTATCTACACAGAAGCATGCCGACGACCATGGCAGATGCGTGCGCGCTTTCTGGAGCGTACGAACTGGCCTGTAACTTGAGTCGAACTGCGTGTGATCCGTTCTGATCTATGAGGCAAAAGGGCCAACGTGAGAAGGCAGAGTCATGTGCAAACTCTGTCTAGAGCTCGGCATAGGCTTCTGTCTATCATCGAGCATGAGTCGGACAGCTGTCTGTCGCAAGACCTTGCCTTTATGTGAAAATCACGGCAGAACGACGACGCTCCACTATGAAAACGTATGCAGATAAAATCGAAGTATCCTTGGATCAAAAAATCTGATGACATCTGCACCAGCAACTGAAACGAGAGGCATCGACACCAGGAGATGTCTCGGTGGTCTCCGCCAGACAAAAGGGTCCGAAAACCATGCTGCGCGCACGCAGTCGTTGCCCAAGGCTGAAGGTATCCGTCTCGATGCATCCAGCCGACAGGACCACACAGAAAACCAAAGCAGCACACAGCAACGATGAAAGTACACAAATACCCCTTGCGTTGGGACAATCGTTGTCCACGACACTTTGGCTAACTGAATTTGTACTTGCCTGCATTTCATCCACGCTGAAGTCGTCAAGCATGAATCCTCCCAGTCAACGGTTTCGAGATGCAGGAGTGACAAAGTCATTGTGCCTCGCAGCTTCCGGCTGCTAGACGAGCTGGAGACTTGCAGAGAAAGCTTCTCAGGGCTTTGTGGTCCAGATTGGTGCCATGCTGCTTCGGCCCTAAACCACCGAAAGATCCTTTACCCAGAGGTTCGAACTCAACATCTGCATCAGAAAAAGCACAAGGGTCACAATTTGCTTCGTCGTTTCTTCTGTTTAGGCATGCTTGTGATGGATGAGTATTCATTGTTCTTGGTTGAAGCGAGCCTTCATCTAGCGCTGCGTCCTGAGACCCTGTGGTTTTTATTGGGACAGCCAGCGGCCACAAGCTTTGGAGATGGAGGGATGGGCTTCCCACAGCACAGCTGAAAATAACGGCTCTTGGTTTCAGGCATCAGTGAGACAGGATGATACCAAGGTCGCTCCCTCGCATCGCTGTACTTCTTCAGAAGGAAGAGCCCACATCCCAAGAAGCCGATTTCCTGATACTTTCGGTCCTCGACTTCGGGTCTCTTGGGGCTGGGTCGCAACTTCCGGAGTGGATCTTCGGAACCGCTGCAACAGCTGAGGAGAAGGGCCAAAAGTGTGAAAGAGCATCACACCTTTCGTGGGGCCTGGCCTACGATGACGATGCCTGTCTGGAGTTTGTGGTCTTTTTCGAACGACCCTGGCGTGTCGGGCGAATTTGGGCTTTCGAAATTCTTTGTTTGCAGTTCCCAAAGCTCTTCATTCCCGGTGCTAAAGTCCCTCGAAGCCTTCAAGCACCGAACGAAACCGAGAAGACTACACCCTGTTTTTTTCGACTTCGTGTGCAAAAATATGTTGCTCTGCTCGCTCTGGCGCCCTCTTCAGCTCCGACACCCAAACTTTCCATTATATGGTCATAGTGTCATAGTGAGCGGCCTAGGTAGTGGAGCGGCCTTCTGACAGGGACTTCTACTAGTCCGAAGGGCTTCGTTCTTGAGCTTCCAGCACGTAAGCTAACAGAAAGGGCGATGGTCCTCAAAGGCAACATCAGTTTTGGAATGGCTTAGAGATGCGAGTGTACCGTGATTAGGCACTACATGGAATCCTTCATCACGTGGAAGGTCTCTCTCTGACTTCAGCCGTGTCATCATGGGCCACGTCACGAAGCCTCGCTAGCTTGTCTTGAGGTTCCATCTGTCATCCACAGCTTTGATTGCGCAAATCGTAGCAATCCGACGTAGTGTCACAAGGCTCCGAGCTGGGATGAAACTTTCTTCCGCGTGTTGCGTTGTGCACGAAGGCCCCGTCAATCTCATCCAGGATACATCCAACACTCTGCTAAACTCGTTGTTCTGCCTGTTTCTATCTCCACGTTGCGCGGATCCCGGGGCTCGGAAGAGCAGCCGTCGAGGACATCACCCTGACAACGTGGAACGGAACCATTTTCGGACCTATTGACACAGCCTTTGACAACCGCATCTACTCCCTACAAATTGCCCGGAGCTTAGAACAGCTTTTGAAGGCTGTTGCTGCCACATGCCGTTCTGAGCCCTCAAGTTCTTCTTTACTGCGCGTACAACTCGCGCGGCAATCAAAGACTCTCAAACTTCAGGTTCACGGCACAAGTGATGCCATTGATATCTTGGTTACTACTTTCTCCGGACTCCCTGATGCGAACCTCTGCTCGATGTGTTTGAAAGCAGGATGTGCTCGGTGGCCCCAAGTCCAGCACTTTCGGGTGTTGCAAGCAGCTACCATATCAATCGTCGAACCGTGAGCCTGGACGTTCTCCATGTCGATTTGGTTCGCCTTCTCCAGCAAACGGCATCAGCTTACCTGATGATTGCCAATGTAGAACCGAAGCCAAAGACCCTAAGTTGTTAAGGTTTGTGGACAGAACTATCCAGATGTCCTGCCAGAAGTGCGCTTTACCGCGACTTGGCTGAGAGAGTTCCGTGTGGGTGTTGCTATGTAGTTCACGATTAGGTGAATGATCCTTGGGTGATGTTTCACTTCACGGTTAGGTGAATGATCCTTCAATCCAGGCTTTTAGCCCATCAAAGCGATCTACTTTCAGACAATGGTAGGGCTCGAAAACTTTCGAGAGCCCAGCGAAGAAGGCTGAGGAACGAAGTCTTCGTAGTGTCTTCAAAGTTTGCTTTAGAGGTTCCGCGGTATCTTGCGAGTTGTTAGCCCTTCCTGTTCAGAGGGCGTCCTGCCGCAGACATTCGGGTTGTGCGGCATGTGCTTCTCTAAGATGTTATGCCATCCATTCCACAAAGATAGCCGACAAAGTATATGGTGCATGGCCGACCTGTCGGGGAGGTACTTGTAATGCTATCAGTTGTTTGA